TTGGGGTACATATTTTGGTTACATCCTAGCTTCAAGCATTTGTGCTTGCTTTCTTAATTTTCTAATCACCCTAACTGAAAACCAACTCCTTAGTATCTTTCTGCTTCTGACAGTATTCTGAAATATTGTAATAAACGGTTCTGGAATTTGTTAAATATGTATCTGGGATAAATGCTTAGTCATAGAGGGCTGCAGAAGTAGAATGTGAATTCCTCTTGAAAGGCATAAATCCTGCTTTTTGGCCATGCCTTATTGTTGTTCTGTTAAGAATAGGACAGAGTTGTTTTATTTACCTAAACTTCAATACCAAGGTGCTTCAGACAAGAGTTGTGATTTTCTTATTATTTAGCTTTCCACCTAATTGACAGCTGTCATCTGACAAAGTATTCCCCAGCCTCAGCTTTTTGACTATAAATACTCATCACACATCTTCTGTCAATGGTGTGATATATGGTAGTTAGTTTTGTTTAGTTCATTTTTTTTTTTTGGAGGGAAGAGGACAGGACACACCGCTTTAGTCTCAAGTGTAAGACTGACTTTGAAATATGCAGTCTCTGGCCATCACTCCTGGCTACATCGGTTTGAAATGTGGTGGGACTCACTGTGTACTTGAGTCAATTGCAAGGGCTTGGGCAGATTTTAAAGTCTCTGTCTCCCATAAGCATTCATTAGAGTGGACCCGTGGAGCTTCTGCCTGCTTTTGCTGAGCATTCTTGCTCAAGCATTGCATCCCAACAGCTTGCTATAAAAATAATGTTTTCCAATAGGAGGTTATCAGAATCCCATCATGAAGGAATCGTATAATTTGCTTCCTGATATTTGTAAACATAACTTTTTCTTTTTTTTCTAAGTTTAACTTTCTATGCTTTATTTTTAGTTTGCATTTCTTTTGATAGTTCAGTGGGCACATATAATGAATGTATTTAATATATTGTTGGCTCATACAAAATATTTATGAATTCTTCTGTTTATGTGTGAATGTTCTGTGTACTTGGATGAAGTGTTACATATTGATAACTGTCTGTCAGTGAAAGGAAGAAATAGACACAGAAAAACAAAAAAGACCAGAGAGTAATTGTTGAAGGTAGAATTGAGTCATAGGGGAGCTCTATGTGTAGTCTTTTGAGGAACCTCCATACTGCTTTCCAGAGTGTCTGAACAAGTTTACACTCCCACCAGCAATGCAGTAGGGTTCCCTTTTGGCCACATCCCCTTCAGCATCTGTCATTGGTAGATTTTTAAATTATTTTTTTCATTTATAGCCATTCTAAATGGGGTGAGGTGTTGTTTCGATTTGCATTTCTTTTATGGCCAGAGAAGTTGAACATTTCTTCATATGTCTCCTGGCCATTCTTATTTCCTCTTCAGAGAAGTGTCTCTTTAAGTTTTTAGCTTGCTTATTAATGTGGCAGTTGTTTCTTTGAGGTTCCCACTTCTGGGCATTTACCCAGATGATCACAAACAAGGCCATACTAAAGCTACCAGCACAACTGTGTTTATTGCAGCATTATTCACCATAGCTAAGATAGGGAACCAACCCAGATGCCCCTTAGTAGATGAGTGGATCAAGAAAATGTGGTACTAAGACTTTATGTTGAAAAACAAACTTTACACTTTGGCAGGGTGGAGGTGGGGGCGGGGATGCGAGGGCAGGGATGGTAAGGGGAAACAAAGGAGGAGGCAACAATACTTGATAAGAAATGTACTCATTTCCTTGCTCATGTAATTGTAACCCCTCTGTATGGTATTTTCACACTAAAAAAATTAATAAAAAATGAGGTACATATATACAATGGAATTCTATGCTTCCATCAGAAAGAACGACACTACCCCATTTGTTAGGAAGAGGAAAGACTTGGAAAAAAAAATCATATTAAATGAAGTTACCCAGTCCTAAAGAAATTTAGGTCCCATGGTTTCCCTTATTTGAAATAATTAGTATCCATATAGGATAATCTTATCAGAAGAGCTGAAAAGCTCAAAAACCATGTACAGATAACCATATTAGAGGTTAAGTGCCAGGTGCTGGTGGGTCATGCCTGTAATCCTAGCACTCGGGAAACTGAGATCAGAGGATCACGATTAAAACCAGCCCGGGCAGGAAAGTCCATGAAACTCTTACCTCCAGTTAACCACTAGAAAACCAGAAGTGGCGTTGTGGCTCAAGCAGTAGAGCGCTCGCCTTGAGCTGAAAAGTGCAGGGACAGTGCCCAGGCCCAGAGTTCAAAGCCCCATGACAGACCAAAAAAAAAAAAAAAAAAGATGGTGCTAAGTGAAATGAATCCCAAAATATGGACAAAAGAGGTCTGTCTTTATTGTTATTATTTTAAATGTACCATGTGATTTTATTTTTGTTGTTGTTGTTTGTTGTTTGTATGGCATATCCCTTGTTGTCACTGTACTTGATTTTGATATCCTGCATCTTGTATATACATAGGTCTAATCTATGGAGGGGAAGGGGAATAACAAAACGCTGAACAAGCACACAGAATGACCCAATGCAACAAGGATACCCACAGGACAGTATATTGGAAACGAACTTTACAACTTCAGGGAAGGGGGGTCAGTTTGGGAAGAGGGGAGGAGTGGGGGAGGTAGAGGAGGGAAAGGATAGTGGGACAGGACAACAACAAGGAAGGAAAGAGGTAACAATAACCGACAGGTAATGTACTCATTGCCTTACTCATGTATCTGTAACCCCTCTGTACATCTCTACAATAAAATAAAAGAAAATAATTTTTTAAAAGGTAGAATTGAGAGGGTTTTAGGATTTACAACTTTCCCATAAGTTTATATACACCCAAGTGCCAGTAATATTTGGGGAAGTTATTTTAGAAGACTCTACAAACTTAAGTTTGTGGGGGTTTTTTGTTGTTGTTGGTAGTGGTGGTGGTGGTGGTCATGGGGCGTGAACTCTGGGCCTGGGCACTGTCCCTCAGCTCTCCAGCTCAAGGCTAGCGCTCTTACCACTTGAGCCACAGCACCACTTTCGGCTTTTTCTGCTAGGTGGTGCTTAGGAATCGAACCCAGGGCCTCATGCGTGCAAGACAAGCACTCTCCCACTGAGCCACCTTCCCAGCCTTAAGTTTGTGTTTTAAACTGTGTGTGCAGTAAGCATGTACTGCATCTTTGGTCAGCTGCTCACTGCCATGTGTCCTCCATAGCGTTGGGTATGAGCTCAGCAAGACACTCTACCTCATGGGGAAACAGATTAGAAAAGAGACAGTTACAAGACAGAGCAAAAAGCACAGAGTTTTTGTGAAGTACCTTTAATTCTGTCTGAGGAGCAGAGGAAAGTTCCAGAAACAAAGGTGCTTAACACTGACACTAAGCAGTGAAGATGGCAGGAGACCTAGAGGGTCATTACTGCAGTAGGGGATGGGACAACTTCTAGTGAGTGGAGCTGTGTAGCAAAGAACCACCAACATAAATTATTTTCTCCAATGAAGGTCCCTAAACCCACCCCAGAGATTGAGAGTCAGGTGGTTTATTTAGAGTGAGCACCTCAGGCAGTTCTCTGATGGCTGACCCAAAGCCTACATTTTCAGTTCAAGACTAGTACTTAGTTCTGACTTGTACTTGCAGGGACAGTCTGACACATCAGAAAGAACTCCAGTTTTGCAATTAGATGTAACTGGGCTTGAACCTGGGCTTTGCTCAGTAATATTAACCATAGCTCCAGCCTTGGACAGATCACTTACTTGGGCTTCAGTTTTTACCTCAGTAATGTGAAGGCAGTCACATCTACCATGTGAGATTGGTGAGACTTGCAGAGGATGCAAAGCACTCAGCCCTGTGTCTGGCACTAATGGTCATTAAATGATAGCTTAGTATCCTTCTTATGGATGCAGCATTTCACAGTGGCTAGTACTATAAACTAAACCTCTTTAACTTGTTTTCTTCATGTTAAAAATGGGAGTGACAATAATATGGACCTAATGGATGCTTGTGAATCAGAAATGAGATAAGGACCTTTTAAAGCAGTGTCTGACACATAGAAATTCTTTAATAACAGTATAGATGATATTGGTGATATTGGTATTATTCTTGTAACTGGCTAGCTTGTTCCATAGGTATGCATCCTGGTACCTGTTGAACAAGACAGAATGAAATAGGGGATATGGTTAGGATCCAGCCCTGCCATGTATAGCTTTGTAACCTTGAGCAATTATTCCACCTTTGTGGAACAGTTTCTCACTTTCTCTTACTCATCCGTTCATGCATTTACTTCAGACAGTTCTGTGGGTATCCTAATGCAGCACGTGCCCTAATAAAATAATTCCTGTTGAAGTAGAGTATGCATATAGCAGACTTTTCCATGTTTGCTGCACAATTTGATCAAACATCCCAACTGGACTTTTCAAAGTGTTTCTTGATCCTTATCAGAGGATGCCCTGATAGTAGAATGAGATCTGAAGACTACAGTTTGAAGCCAACCCAGGCAGAAAAGTCTGAGAGACTCTTACATCCTCTTAACCAGCAGAAAAGCCAGAAGTGGAGGTATGACTCAAGTGGTAGAGCCCTAACACTGATTAGAAAAAGCTAAGGCCCTGAATTCAACCCCAATACCAGTATATACAATAAAAATAAAACAAATTAAGCCTTAGTCTTCAAGTCTTGTCTCTCAAAAACTAGTTAAAGTGTATACTTTTTGTGCTTTGTCACTCCTCAATTAAGACTACTAAATTTGGAGGGAGAAGACCCAGAGTCAAGTCTCAGATCATTCCTTGCCCAAAGTGATTCACTACATACGAGCCTTTCTTTCCTCATCTGTGAAATAGAGATAGTAGTCTTCTTCACAAGGAAACATGCAGAGGATGCATATATTTTATGTTTATTTTATATATAAAGTTTATATTTTATCTACATAATACATACACATAATGTGGAATTGTTCTGCCATCCTTAAAATGCTATGAAAATGTTGTTCCCTCACCTTAACCAAGCTCATGTTCGGTGTTACGGTTCCAATGCACAAACTTCCTTCTGTTTTCTTACAGCCTGAAAGAATTTCAGGGGAGCAGTACGGAATCCATTCTGATGTCTGGAGCTTAGGGATTTCTTTCATGGAGGTAGGTTGCAGTTGTTTGCAAATAGACACTTATTGTGCATACTGTACTAAATAAATGTCCCATAGGACTAATAGAGATTTTGAAAGAATATACCTTCAGTGCTATATAAATATATATTTCTGTAGATTTTGACTCTAATCATTACTTACTTTTATATCTTCATGTGGCTTATGGACTGTGTCTGAATTATTCTAAAACACTATTTCTCACAGATCACCTGTTTATGGATACAGCCCCATCCAAAACCAATTAAATCCAAATCTCTGATAATCTGTATGCCAGATATTTTCCCTGAGTGATCATTTTTCATACTATCTGGAGAACCTGTGTTCCAAAAGGTTTCCCAAAAAATGATATGTGGTACCTGCTTTGTTGGAATGCATATGTAATTCTCAGAGATATGCTCCCTACTCATTTGAATGTATAAAAAAGAAAAAAGTTACCTCATTCTAATATGGTCATAGCACATGTATATAAAATGTAAGGGTGGGGTAGGATGGTTATGTAGTGTAATTTTATCTTTACTCTTCATGCTGTATTTAGAATGGACTTTATCTTAGAATGCTAAGTTCACCCCCACTAGAACTCTATAGTAGGTTTTTTATAAAATGACCAAATGACATATTATAAACATAACTGGAGGGTATAACTGCTTATGAGGGGGAATAACTGTGATTAAAGTACCTTGTATACGTGTCTGAGAATGATAACAAAACCAGTTTTTTTGCAATAGGGCTATTTTAGGTTAGCTTGACAGTCTTTAAAAATGTAAAGATACCGTTAGTGGATGAATGCATATGAAGCATCATTCACTATTTACAAAGGAAGGAAATACTGTCATATGTCTTTTTTTATGATGCATGTATGAAATTTTATTTATACTCATTGCTTGTTGGCCTTTAATATAACAATTCATCATATAATCAACATATTAATAAAGGGAATAGCTATTTCTGGAAATTATTTAAAGCCAAAGTATTTCTATTTCTGAATTGCATATTATTCATATAGTTCTTTATATTTAAAGGTATATTATTTTGTGCAAATGTCTGTATCTGAGTTCTTATATGTAAGGTCAGAGATTAACATCTTTTCTTCAATAAATGTGACATACCGGTAATATATTTAAAGTCTTATATCATAATTAGTGGGAGCTCTAATCCAATTAATTCAATTAAAATGAATTATTTTATAAATGTAATATATTCCAATAAAAATGCCTAAGCCACATACTGGTGGCTCATGCTTATAATCCTAGCTAATTAAGAGGCTGAGATAAGGATGATCACCATCCAAGACCATCCTAGGCATACATGTGAGACCCCCTTCTCAACCAACATTTGAGTATGGTGTCATCTCAGATACTTGAAAGACTCAAATTGTGAGGATCAAGGTTCTAGGCCAGCCTGGAGAGAAAAGTCTATGAGACGCCATTTCAGTGTAAGAAGCTTGGCCTGATGGCATGTGGCTGTCATCCCATCATGATGGGAAGCATAAAATAGGTAAATTGTGGCCCAGGTGCATGGCCAGCCAAAAAGCAGAGACTGTATCTTAGATATAGTCAGTGCCAAAAAGGGCTAGATGTGGGGTTCATTGGTAAAACACCTGCCTACCCAGCATAAGTTTCTGAGACCAAACCTCAGTTTTGCCTCCCTCCCCGCCCAAAATCAATGTCTGGAAAAAGACACATGGGTCAACTTTAGTTACAGTAGTACAGAACTTAGGTACTCACCAGCACTGTCAGAATTGACAGTTTTGACAGAAAGAGGTTTTACAGGCTGGGTGCTAGTGGCTTACACCTGTAATCCTAGCTACTCAGGAGGCTGAGATCTGAGGATCATGGTTCAAAGCCAGCCGGGGCAAGGAAAGTCCGTGGGACTCTTATCTCCAATAAACCACTAGAAAACCGGAAGTGGCGCTGTGGCTCAAACAGTAGAGCGCTCGCCTTGAGCTGAAGAGCTGAGGGATAGTGCCCAAGCCCAGAGTTCAAGCCCCACAACAGACCAAAAAAAAAAAAAAAAAGAGGTTTTACAAAATAGAAAGGACATAAATGGGCATGTTAAATTGAACCCTTCTTATATAGCTGTTTAAAGAAATAAAAAAAAAAAACAAAAAACAGGAGGGACTCTTACATATGCTCTCTAACAAGGAAGAAAAGAAGCAGAAAAGACTCAATAGGATTGGAGATTGAATTACAATCACAATTTTGTCACCTTTTTTTTGGCCAGGCGTCTTTTCTATAATTTTTATAATGCTTGAATGTCATTGTGTTTGTAAGCAAATATCTTCAAACTCAGTTAACCTGAATGGTATTAAAAAGAAAGAAAGAAAGAAAGAAAACTGCTCAGTGTTTGTTAAATCATATTCTCCTGCTTAATTATACAAGGGATCTAAGAAATACAGTATATGTGTATCCAAATGAGTGGTTAGTCATAATGATGGACAGATAGGAGAAGTGAATCTAAAGCAGAATCTATTGGCCTGTTTGTTTCCCATTCCAAGGCTTAAACTTATGGGCTTATACTCTTTTTTTTTTTTTTTTTGGGTCCAGTCGTGGGGCCTGAACTCTGGGCCTGGGCGCTGTCCCTCAGCTCTTCGGCTCAAGGCTAGCGCTCTACTGCTTGAGCCACAGCGCCACTTCTGGCTTTTTTCTTTTTTCTTATGTGGTGCTGAGGAATCGAACCCAGGGCCTCAGGCATGCAAGGCAAGCGCTCTACCACTGAGCCACCTTCCCAGTCCTGGGCTCATACTCTTGCCTAGCTTGCTTGCTAACAGATGGTGCTCAGCCACTTGAGCCATGACTTCAATCTGGCTTTTTTTCTAGTTAATTGGAGATAGGGTCTCAGCCTTTTGGGTAGCTAGGATTACAGTTGTGAGTCCAGCCTCGCTATTACCTTGTTTATGAGGAAACTGGTACTTTTGTGGGGTTCACCCCTTGCTTCTATATAATTTTCTTTTGCATATTTTAGATCATTGTCATTGATTGTATTTTATAAATGAGCAGATATGGTGTAGAACTGTGGAGAAACTACGTGGTACAGATACAAGAATCCCAGGTTGGGAGTGAAAGGCCTGGATTGCAGTTTCAGTTTGCTGCTAGTTTCCTGGGTGGCCCTACTCCCCCCTGGGCCTCAGTTCATTCATCTGTAAAATGATTGTCTTTGAGCCTCTTTTCAGGCTTATACCCTAATGATTCTGCTCTGACTCTTTCTGCTATTCTCTTTCCTTAGCTTCATGCAACAGCAGTAGAGCTGTAGAAACAAGGGTATACCATCACTTGACATAAAACATGCAGGCGGAGCAGTACTGTCAGAGAGCATGATTGCTACACCTCAGATTTAGAGCCCAACACCTCAGATTTAGAGCCCATTTGAATGGCTCCCAGTCATCCCTCCTCCTTTTTGAGCCCTTGCTAGGCCTACTACATGGACCAGTTTGGTGAGGTGTGGAGCATGAGGACAACAACAGAAAACAAAGCTAAAACCAAATATGAGGTTTGTCAGGTAACAGTAAATCCAGTGGAGAAAACAAAAGTGGTCAGTCCTCTGATAGAGTTCCATTGGAAATGCAGAGACAGGAATATTGTGGGGGAAGCCACCTGGCAACAACAGTTACTTTGTATATGCAAGGAAAACAGAGAGACCTGTCTGACTGGAGTGGAGTTAACAGGAAGAAATAAATTCAGAGATGTAGACAGGACCAGAGCCAATGTAGGCCATGCTCAGAATTTGAGACACTTACTCTGAGAATAAATGCTCTGACTTCAATTTTCAAAGGGTCATCGATTGTTCTGTGGAAAATAACTGTAGAGGAACAAGCATAGAAGTGAGGTGGTCAGATAGGAAGATTGATAGATGCTCAATAAACATAACACATTAATATTTATTTATATTACATATTGATATACACATCTAACTATCTTGTCAGGTGCCCAGGATATAATGAGTAATAAAAAGAAATTTTTCTATGTTGTAGGGAGGGAAATTGCTAGTGGTGTGTTTGTGACTTCGCTGCTGTCCATTTAATACTCTTCGGGAACACTGAAGAAAAGGCGCATTGAATTTCTAAGATTGATAAGGATAGGTATAGGAAACTGTAAAAACTGTCAACTCTATATGCAGGACAACTAAGTGACAGAATGAGTAAGGTAACCCATGTGGCAAAATGGGCAACAGGAGATGACCACATGGTTGTTGGGAGTGGGGAACCAGGAAGGATTAGTCTTTTGATTCTTCCTGTGTTTCCAAATGAATGGTAAGGAGAGGTAATACAGCAGGAGAAAAGTGGATGGAAAGTGGACTAAGATCATGACCATCAAAAATGCATGTTGAGCTCTTCTTTATTCAGGATGCTTAGCTAAATGCCTTCAAAATGAAGCATGAGAGAGGTTGTCAGTGGCTCACACTTGTGATCCAGGCTGCTCAGGAAACAGATCTTAGGATTGCTGTTTGAAGCCAGCTGAGGCTGTTAAAGTCCATGAGACTTTTATTTCCAATTAACCATCCACCCTATCCCACCCCCCCCCCCCAAAAAAAAAGCTAGAAGTGGAGCTATGGCTCAAGTGTAGCTCAGAAACAGTGCCAAGGCTGCACCAAAAACCAAAAAAAGGAAACATAGGATTGGAGTCTCTGCCCTTTAGGAATTTATGACCCTCTGTCGAGCAGGTAACAACATGGACCAACCTAAATAGCAGCCTAGTAAGTCAGAGAATAGAGTAAGACGACCCTTAATATAGTTTTGGGTTCTTCATTTATTTGGGACAATTCATTTGGGGTCTGAGGTAAAGAAAAACACATGACAGAGAAGGGGAGAAGAAGGGTTTGAATTCATAGATGAGTCTTTGTGAGTGGTTCAGTAATGACGATTACAAGAGAACTCCAAGGTTCTTTGTTTCTTGAGGTAGATAAGAAGAGACACATTACACAAAGGAATTGAGAGTTAGCCCAAAAGAGATAACTTGAAGGCCAAGATTCTTCTCTGTTTTTAACCATAATTTACTT